TGGCTCTGGCCAAAATCTATTATCCATTCACATCAGGATTTCAGCCAGAGCCATTAAATGCCCTTTTGGCTCCGGCCGAAATCCATCCATTCACATCAGGATTCTGGCCGGAGCCATTCCCTTTTAGCTCTAGCTAAAATCCTTTAACTCACTACATTAGTTTTTCCAGCCCCATTTCATTTCTAGAGCAATTCTATTTTGGCTCTAGCCAAAATGCAGCGATATCAATGTTTACCCCTATTTCAAAGCCTAACAAGACTTCCCACCCACCACCATTCACCTCCCATGCTGATTAATCTAAAACTAACTAACACCCCCCTGCAACGTGGACTCTACACATAATATTATTATGATTTCATAAGTGCCTTACAAGTATCCCACTATCTATTAATTCAAATACACTGGGAATGGCAATAGCTAGTGAACCCAGTCTATACTTATATAGCACCACATACTAGGTAATTTTCTGCCTTAAATGCTGCATTGCAGTTCCCACAAAAGTTAAGTGTAGATATCTTATTAACATGCATAAGGTGCCCCTGAAAACTAAGACCATCATCTACAATGCATTCCATCTAACGCAAAGCCACGCCATGATCACTTAGACTTCCTAATTCCACCATATATAATACCTGTTCCCCACCTAAAGACAGTTAATCTATGGCACTGCCCTGACTGTGATTTCCTAACTCCATCTTATGATTTGATTAGGAAACATCATCAACAACAACATCTTAGTCTAGGGCCAAGTCCAGTTCAAGTCTAGGGCTAGCAGTGGTTCTGTGGATTGCTAAAGACTAGATACTGGGTGATCAAGACTGAGTATCTACATCAACAAGGTGCTCACGCGCCTGAGATCAGGTCTTCACCACCTTTGGTGTAGCGCAAGTTGGAGATAATTTCAGATAGTATCTATATAAACCTACAACATCCTCACTAATAATTTTGCTAATACATGCTGTAGATGTAGATGTCCCTGATTCACAACTATCAGGTCTAGAACTAGCTAGAGTTCTAGGTAAGGATTTATACATCATATCTAAAATATGCTAACTAGCTAATCCTTCTAGTCCCTGACTCACAGCCCGACTTGTAGTTAACTAAACAGACTGAAACTGAGACATGTAATTTAAGATAAACACCATTAATTCAGGCACCCACTCAATCAGCATGGATTTCCAGGCTTATATATGAAGAGACTTGAGTTCATGATGTTTAGAAATACTTATCTAATGCACTGGGTAAAGATTCTATCTCATTACCTTTACTAATATATGCTAACCTCTCTAAGTTCCAGACTCCCATATTAGCACCAAACCTGTCCCTAGTCTGGTTCTAAATATAGAAGACATGGCTAGATATGCTCCTGGTCCCTCTCTAAACTCAGATGATGTGTTTCTCCTTAATAACCACCATCTTAATAATGATGTTACTCCTTGGCTTTAATCCACAGAGTGGTTACACTACTTTCACAGATGCTTGTTAGATGGAATGGTTCAGGCAGCTAGACATATTAGAACTCTACAGTCCATCCATGAGCTCCAGCCATTCTGGGGTGTGCTAGATGTTAATTACCAATTTAAGCAAGCGCTGATTAATCATAGTAACCAGATACTCGCCATGATCCTGGCAACCTTTAATTATATTATAGAGCGAGCATTTTGAACACTCTGCCAGACACCTACCTCTATTAAGGAAGTATTTTCAAGTCTAATTACATAATGCTAAGGAAAGCATCCACTTAACTTCCTAAACCCTAGCATAGAGAAGGTTATATCTAGGTCTGGAGACAGCTTCTTTACTTCATCTTCCGCAGTGTGCCTCTCAGAGATAATAAAGTGCAATGGTCAAAGCTCAGGGTATTTTTAGATCCTTCACAGGAATGGAAGCTACTCTAATATGGGATTAGCTTAACTACTTCCTTAAGAGCCATATTAAAGATAGTTTCACCAATCCTAATCCCTTGGAAGATAGGCCTACTGAATAATCACAAGATCTGGAGTTTGGCTTATAATATGCTGTTAGCAGCCAAGGATCTACTAGCCATTAAATCAAGCAGCAGGGGCCTTCAGCCCAACAGCAACTTCAGATGAAGTGATAACAGCTCTCAGAGCAACAGCTATTTTAGATACTAGTTAGTGTGGTTATTCCACCTCTGTCCAAAACCTATAACACGCAGGCGGTATCTTAAGGTTTAGGGAGCTTTCCACCTGGAGAGCAAGCCCCAATACAGTTCTAACCCCAATAACAACAAGATGTGGAGGCAGGAAGTCAAAGGTTATGTCTAAGAAGAGGAACATAAATCCTTATTCACAACAGCCACATTATTGCAACCGCCTTGCCATCATGCAATCCTCAAGTTAGTTAATTAACCCTTCAGGAGATGACACTGAAGTAGCTTCAGATGGAAGTGATAGATCTGATAGTACTAATCCAAGCTTTACTATAGATGAGCTTAGATCAGGCTGAGCATCATCATTCTTAGGCACTGAGAGTGACTACTCTAATGACTAGTTTCCCCCTAAAACTACAAAGCCCAGACTTGGAGACCTAAGATATCAAAATAATAATCACATCCTGCGCTGCCTTCCCTCAACTAGTCAGGCCTGGCTAGAAGAGTGGCTTTTTTCATTCTGTATTAGGTTGCTTACCAGAAAGGCTGGCCACACACATGGTGATAAATTTCAAAATATGATTGTTACTTTCACCGCTGTGTATGGAATCCAACCTAAGACAAAGAGCTTCTATGATCCTTACAGCTACACTTCCAAACTTGCAGCTCTCTTATGGGTATCATGGATATTACTATTAGAATATACCCTGCTAGTCAAGCCCTATGGGTTTATTCCCAATATCTGTGCCCATACTAAATATCCAAATTACCTTGACTGGGCACTGTTAGTACACAAGTACCTTTACTAGACAGGATAGTTAGTATCCCATGGCTGAGCTCCTGCGGTTGATGAGCAAAGGGCTTAGTATTACACATCACCAGAAGCAACCCCTAAATGTGCACTGGTCAGATGATGGGCAAGTCATCCACCATGATGGGGCTAGAGGTATTGCAATAGACTTAATGTGTGCTTGGGTCTAAGGCATGATATCAAATCTAACTTCCTTTTTAGATGAAGTCCTGCTCTAGGGCTATAAGTCACTAATCATGCTAGCTAACTTACAGGACCGGCTACATAAAGATACAGCCGGCTTCTTATTTTAGATCTACTATCACTGCATTAAATATCCTATGAAGCACTGCTACAGCTCTATAAGACTCTACCTAATAGCATTCAACCCATAAGGCAAAAGGACACATGGGACTTTAAAGGTGTAGATAAATACCTAAGCAATATAAAGCAGTTTCTATAAGAACTCACAGTACTAATTAATATACTAGGGGCAGCTAAGTTAAGGCACAGAGCTCTAGAACATTAAGTAGTAGAATACATCCACATCTTAATAAAACATCTTTATTTATAATAGATCTGTGCTCATCATTACAGATTACAACAAGAGCCGGAATTAGACTAAGTCATATAACCATACACCCCAGTTTCTTCCACCACAGGTTGGGAGGCTGGTAGTACTTTACCTTATTCATGTGCGATCCCTTGTTTTAGCTCTCAATTAAGAGAAGAGACAAAGGCAAAAGAAAGGATCCACACCTGCTCTGCTAAACCCAGCCCCCAAACCCTAACCTACAGATAATCATTATTTGTTTGCTGTGCCTGGAGCAAGGCATACAGCAGAGAGGGGACAGGTATCACAGATAATGTTTAAGTTAAGTAAGGGGGCCTTTAATGGTGTGCGCCTCACAACATGAAAATACTATTATATTGCCATTAGAATCACTAAGAAGCACTTACTATCTCAGGCTTCTGGGGAGGACCTAGCTCAAGCAGCAGCACTGCTCCAGAATGTCTTTGCTGCCCAGGCCAGACATCATTTCTTAATTAATCAACACATCTATGCCAGGGACAGGGCTATACTACATGCAGGCCTTTGGGGACAAATTAGACATCTTTCAGCAGGCATCCTGTCTATGGCATGACTTCATCCTCTAGCCCACCTTGCAAGTCTCTCAGCCAAGAGTAACATCCAGTTAGCCTACTCCACAGTTCTCCCTGCCACCTAGCACAATCTCTCAGCCATTTGAGGACACTCCCTGGCCATTCCTTAAGCACTTCACGGAGTGGAAATTACTGATATATATTAACCATGGCACTGCTATACCATATATATCAAGGGCTACACACCTTCAACAATACTATACAGATCAGTCAATTACTCGTGATGAGGTTCAAGCAATAGAGGAATCTATATCTTAAGGATGTTTAGGCTACCCTGCGTGAACAAGAAGCCCTACACCCTTTTCCATTTCTAGAACTAAAAGATGGATATAGATGTTACAGGCCTGGCTGTTAATTTATTACCAGCTCTAGGAAGAGATGGCTATTGCACAGGGCCAAGGTGCATGCAGAAAGGAATCATCAAAACACAAAAGTACAGGCGTTGATGGACCAAGGAAGTTACCTAGTAGAGGTGCATGTCCCCTAATACTGAGGCTTAGGAATTAGCTCTATTTTTACCTAACAGGAATCTATCATCTTACATATATATCTACTAGATCTCCTACCCACAGGCTAACACACTAATTCTCCTATCCTACCCCATTACAACAAGCAACAGTTGTTAACCAGGCTAGCATGCCCTGATTTCGGCCGGGGCCATGTTTCACTAGCATAGGTATTAATCTAGGTATTTTATAACTATACAATCATTTCTTGTACTGCCTCATCACCTTACCCATTCACCTATAATGACAGTTAATCTCTCCCATCCCTTTTTATTCTCCATCTTCCTCACCATCATCAACCTTAACCACCTTACCAAACCACTCTAATCTGTATGTGCATACTAATTTCGGTCAGGGCTAGGTATCATATGCTTACTTATCTATCTAGTTATACTTTATAATACTCCATCATCCGCTCACCATTTAACTATCCTAATATATAGTTAACCATCTCTCCCTTCTCATTCTCCATCTTCCTCCCCATCAAGCTTAACTCTACCAAACCACCAAGATGGAGAATGAGAAGGGAGATTAATCTATAAGTAAATACTACCTCACTTTCCTTCACCATCTGCACTGTTTCTGGTTTTAAGTCTTCCTTTCTTATAGCTGCGTCCACTGCAAGTGCAGCACCACTAACCACATCATCAGGGCCAACGACCACACCTCCATCTAGATCTCCATCAGCAAGGTTGATGAGAACAGTCGCTACACCGGTGATAACCAGAGCTATGTGCTCTGCAGCTTCCTCCATGCTTATGGCAAGAGTAATGACTCCCTGAACCACCTCTGCCAGCGTGACAGCAACATGCGCAACATCTGAACCGCCAGCCGCCAGCAGTAAATGCTAGATGACTTTTTCTAGTGTTTGCTGTGCAAGACAGGTTGCTTAGATATAAGTTCCACATCTGTTAAATCATGGTCAGCCAACCCACATGCTGATTTAGATGTCGGTGCGGATAGGAAAAGACGGGCCATTAGATAAGTTATGTCTGGGAGTTGATGATACCTGAAAATCATTTTCTTTTACTATGAGTCAATAAAGACTTGAAGAACTTCCATCTAATTCAACCCCATTAATCCATTCCATGTATAGGATCCTCACAGCTTCTGTTACCTATGCTTATCTGACCTGTGTTACTCACAGCCAGGTGCCCCCTGATTTTGGCCAGAGCCAACTGTCACTTGCTCACAGCCAGGTGCCCTGGATTTCGGCTAGAGCCAACTATTGCTTGCTCACAGCCAGGTGCCCCTGATTTCAGCCAGAGCCAACTGTGCTGTCAGGGCGGCTGAATATCACGTGATGATGTCATTAGCTGAGACACTTGTGGGTGGGTGCTCAGGCTCAACCAATCAGATCACTCAATGGTATATTCTGTATAGCTTTAACATTCACAGCAACATACATTCACAAACACATTCACTTTTCTATAAAATGTCTTGCCTAGGGCTTCAACCCTGTGCCACATAATGCATAATTCTATTCATCCACCTCCATCTTACCTCCTTCCATCTTCTTCTTCTTCTTCCCTCAACACCATCACCAACAACATCTCATCTCCAACTACAAACAATTTTAAGGTCAGTATCTGCTTCCAATAACTTTATTATTAATTCTGCTTTGATATTGCATCTCCTTCTTCACCTCCCTGTCCGAATTTCCCCTGTTTCCTTTGCTTGGACCAACATAACCTGTGGATTTCTGCCAGAGCCAATAGAATCAGGGGCAGATCTAGCGCGCATGCTTCCCCTTATAAACCTTCTACAGTACCAGGAGCAATCTACAGTTTCTTTATTACTTTTCTTTATTGTAATGCTGAAGCTGAGTTATTTATCTTCCTCTCCATGCCCCTAAGAATCCCTGGTGTTTCTTTATCTGTACCAAACCCACAAGCATTAGATTT